TGGATGCTGGAGCTACAGCCATAACGTCAAATTCCATGGAAGAAACAGAAAAGGGGGAATAAAGCCAGAGAGTTGTCCTTGGCTGCCTGTTCCTCTTAAAGTAAACTTTCTGGAAATTCCTCCCAACAAGTCCAACAATTTATGCTCCATCTCATTGGCCAGCACTTAGTCATTTGGATCCACCCGGTCAGTGAAAGTAAAACTGGCAGTCGCTCAGTCATGTCCAACTCTGTGGGACCCCATAGACTGTAGCCCATCAGGCTCTTCTGTCCATGGGATCTCCTAGGCAAGAATAGTGGAGTCGGTTGCCACTCCCTTCTCCAGGGGATCTTCTCGACTCAGGGATTGAACCCAGGCCTCCTGCATTGCAGACAGATTCTTTACCATCTGTGCCCCAGAGAGGCTGAGGAATGTGATTTGTTTTTAAATCTGAACACAGAGCTTGCCCTGTAATATAGGGGTTCTCTTGTTAAGAAAAAGGGGGTATGGATAATGGGCAGCTAGTAATCTCTTCCACGTGTCTTCTGTTTTAAACATGGTGACCTCCTTACCTAACATGTCTTAAATGCAGTAAGGTTAAGAAGAAGGAAACTTACATGTAGAATTAAAAAATAAATAAAACCAGAAATGAGCTTTTAGACAACAGAGTGGTGGTTGCCAGAGGCAGAACAAAAAGCATGAAGGGAGTCAAAAGATAAAACTTCCATTCATAAAATAAATCATAAAAATAAAAATCATTAAAAAATCCAGGGGATGTATTGTACAGTATTGATGCAATGTACATCAAGGGGATGTAATGTGCAGCATGGTGATTTAATAACACTGTAATGACAGTGTAACAATATTTCTAAGTTGCTGAAAGTAGAGCTTAAAAGTTACCACTGCAAGAAAAAAACTTGTATATGGTGACGGAGGTTAACTACTTATTGAGATGATCATTTCACAATACATAAATACAGAATCATTATGTTTTACACCTGAAACTAATATAACATCATATATCAGTTATATCTCAAAAAAGTTATCAATAACACACACTCAAGCTATTGAGATTTAAAAGCACTATAGCACTCAAATTTTTTAGCTATTTTTAATCTTCCTTTCTTATGCTATTCAAGTAGATTTTGGTCTAATATAAAAACTGGAAAATATTGAAAACATATATATTTTATATTAAAAAAAATCTTTTTTTCATAATTGATAAATGCCAGGAAAACAAACAAAAACCCTTCTCTTTCCCTCAATAAAACATTTCCCCTTTGTGTTGTTGCTAAGTCATGTCTGACTCTTTGCAACCCCATGGACTGTAGCCTGCCAGGCTCCCCTGTCCATGGGATTCTCCAGGCAAGCAGGATGGAGTGGGTTTCCATTTCCTCCTCCAAGTGTCCCTTTACCCAGAGTTAAAGACTGTCATAGTCTTTAACTGCCTCTGCAGCTGCTGGAAAAATAACCTACTTTTGAAGAGAGGTTATAAATTTTCTTCCAAGGATAGAGTTTGGTTGATCCATAAGCTGATTATTTGTGACTTCCTATCTACCAAATGCCATCACTTTGTCTCAAGAGTTCACTGCCCTTAAATTCTTCATTGAAATCAACACAGTAGATTCAACTGTTCATGAAATTTTCTTTTCCCTCCCTTGACCCCTCTGACATGGTTCTATTATGCCTGGTTTATTTCTTTGACTGCTTCATTTCAATCTCCTTTTCGAGAGCTTCTTCCTCCAGGCACTCCTAAAAAAAGTAACCCTCTCATTTTCTTTCCAGGACCCAATCCTTCTCACATCCTATGTGAAGTCCAATGACACTTTCACTCCCACCCTTCAATATAATGTTGTGTGAATGACCTCTCCAATCCCACATTTCTAACTTCTGTTTATAAAAAACATGTTTTCTTTTTTAACCTAGATCTTCCACAGACACTTTGAATTTAAGGAATCCAAGACTAAATTCATCCTATTCATGTTAGAACTCAAATGCATTCCTCTTCTTGCCTTCTTTTGGCTGCTAACATGACATTTGCCGTTGCCTTCTTGGGTCTAATCTTCCCTCCTCACCATCCATACCTAACCACGTACCAGAAATCCAGCTCCAAGGCAGCACCACCTTTCAATTGCCATTACTTCTCACTTACTATAGAATAATGTTATGTGGACACTTCCCTGGTGGTCCAGTGGCTAACACTCTGTGCTCCCAATACAGGGGGCCCAGGTTCAATCCCTGGTCAGGGAACTAGATCCCACATGCTGCAACTACTGATCCCTCAAGCCACGACAGAGATCAAAGATTCCACGTGCCACAACTAAGACCTGGCACAATCAACTACTTAAATAAAATTGAAACCTTTAAAAGACAGAATAATGTTCTGTTATCTTGAGGTGTCTGTCTGCTGTCAGTCATGCATCATACATACTGTTATCCATCATGCCATACCTCTTCAAAATAGTATCTTCAATTGGCTATACCTTGCACACAGAATAAAGCTCAGATTCTACTATTTGGACTTTGCAGTTCTCTATAATCTGGATCCAATCTATTATCGCCTTTCATATTTCTTCCCCACTACTCCTTTTCCATAAGACAACCTAGCAATCAAAATGAATCTTCCCCTTATTTCTCCCATGGCCCTTTATGAGTACCCAAAGTCACCCATGGTACTCATCACACTGTTTTTTTAGAGCTATTTGTGCTTGTCTGTTTCCCTGCTTAGGTGGTGAATCTCTGGAGGGCTTGTTCTTATCACCCCCCTGTGCTCAAAGGAGCATCTTTAGTGGAATAAGATAGATGTTATCTTTTGTGGATGTTTATTGAATAAATATGAGCTGTATATAGCCTCTGCTTCTGCTCATAGAATTTGAAGTCCAATTCAAGGATGACCCTCAGCACAGCTATGAGGCAAGCCTTCATCGCTTCAAGATATTCCCTTTCAGGGACTTTCCTGGCAGTCCAGTGGTTAAGACTCTGAGCTTCCAGTGCAGGGAGCATGGGTAAGATTCCTGGCTGGGGACTCTGCATGCCACATGGCATAGCAAAATAAAATCAAATATACTTGGGAATTCCTTGTTGGTCTAGTGGTTAGGACTCTGCAATTTCACTGCTGAGGATGTGGGTTCAATCCTTGGTCAAGGAACTATGATCCCACAAGCTGTCACCAAAATGTTTTTTAATTTTTAAAAGGGATTTCCCTGGTGGTCCAGTGGTTAAGACTCCATGCTTTCACTGCAGGGGGCATGGTTTTGATCCCTGGTTGGGGCTCTAAGGCTGTGAGGTGCAGCCACAAATTTAAATACATATATATAGCCTCTTTCTTTTACTTACAGATGCTCAGCACCCTCTCATTCACTTCTGCCTTCCTTAGACCCCTTACTGGGGTGCCCACACAGACCCCTCCTTTTGAGCAAGCCGAATGCCCAGACCTTTTCCTTCCCAGTTTCTTACCAAAACTTAACACTTCTCTGAGATGCACTTCAGACTCCAATCTTTCTCATTCTGTAGATCAAGAGACTAAGGCCCAGCAAGGTGACATAACTGCCCAAGTAAATGTGACCTACTAGCAGGCCTAGCTGAGATGGAAACAAGTCCATTGCTCGCTCTTTCACACTTAGCTGCCCACCGTGTCTCTCAGCCCCTCCAGTTCTGGCTGCCCTGAAAGATTGGCAAGGACTGGCCTCTAACGCATCTCTCTTTTTGCAACAGTTACCAGTGCTCTCTCAGGAACAGATCCTGGGGAGAGCTCTCCTTCCTTCCCCTCCTGGTGATTGTTTGGTCAGTCTCTTCCTAGCTTCTGAACACAGAGACGCTGTCTAGGCTGGGATCCGGAAAGCCTGCACATTTTCTGCAAAGTGCTTTCTCATGGCTGTGTGGTTACTGATCCTCACAGCATAACATAAACCTCCCACGCGTCACTGAAACCATGGCAGCAGAACTCCAGAGGCATCACCCTGCAGTTTCACAACTTCCTGGGGCGGAAGAGCTCCATTCACCAATACGAGGTAATTTCTGTGAAGGGGATCTAGCATCCTTAAAAGCAGTCATGAATGAGTCTTTTCAGTACTACTTGGAAGGAAGTCAGGGACTTCACAATTGACACTGGGCAGTAATGCCATTCAACAGCAGCCACGCAAGAGATATATGAACGCCTCGGGGCAGAACAAAGACCAGCTGAATCAGCCAAGGGCAGCTACTTCTACAAAGCGCATTTTACCTGAATAGGAACTTGAAGGGTTTTCAAGGAATGATACTGTATCCTTTCCAAAAGTGTCATGTGTTCTTTGCTCATCTTGTAAAACTAAGAATCGAAATTTAAATTTTATTCTAGTTTGGTCTTGGTGCCATATTTTAGGATTTAATCATCAGGGCTGATCTGAGGAAGTGCTGCATTTTTTTTTTTTTCCAGATGGAAAAACGAAGCACTGAAAGTTTGTCTTTTCTGCAAGATTTGATTTTAGAATTATAGGTCTTTGATGTTGAAGGAACTTTGTAGTACATCTAAAATAAAAGTGAAAGTCACTCAGTCGTGTCCAACTCTTTGTGACCCCATGGACTATACACTCCATGGAATTCTTCAGGCCAGAATACTGGAGAGGGTAGCCTTTCCCTTCTCCAGGGCATCTTCCCAACCCAGGGATCGAGCCAAGGTCTCCCACATTGCAGGCAGATTCCTTACCAGCTGAGCCACAAAGAAAGCCCAAGGATACTGGAGAGGATAGCCCTTCTCCAGCAGATCTTCCTGCCCCAGGAATCGAATCAGGGCCTCCTGCATTGCAGGCAGATTCTTTATCAACTGAGCTATGAGGGAACCCCCAGTACATCTAAACCAACCATATATTTTAGATGTAAAGAACTGGCCCCTCATCTAATAAAATTATCTACTCTATCTTGTGAAATTTATTTTACACTAGAAACAGGAATTAATGGAGGAGGAATTTGGGCACTAACTTATAGTTGTTATATCGTTAGGACTGAGTGGGTACATAGGCCTGACAGAAATGACCACTCTGGACTTTATCTGTTTGCCTTCAATTTATTTCCATTCCATTTCCCATTGTACAAAGCAGATGACCACTTTAGGTTTACTTTGGGAAGTATGTGAGTGTCCACACTGCTTTATGGTAATATTAAAATAATTCCTTTATTATTTTAATAAATAGTCAATGAAAAATTAATCCATCTATCTAAGAAACAAATGAAAAATTTTATGTGAGCCGTACATCAGGATTATTACCTGGGAAGGGCATTTGAGAAAACTCTGAGAACTGTTCCACTAATTAGAAGTCAAGGCAACATTATATATGTTTTTTGAGACAGAGGGCTGGTAACATCAAATTGTTAGGGGAACTACCAACTAAAACTGCTTGCCCTGGCCCGGTACCACAGTAATCACTTGCATGAGTCATCCTTACAAAAGGAGGACCTGGTTAGGAACAAGGAACTAACAAGCTACCATTAACCAGAAGAATTCAGGAAAGTTCAGGAAGAGAGACGAGACTCCAGACCATATGTAGTGCCACCCTCCCAGAAACTTGCTTGCTGGAATCCGTTTTGGCTGAGTGATGGACACACCTCCAGGAAGGACCCTGAGTCAGAGTGATGGCCAGAGACAACCTGAAACCAAACAGATTACCGTAAAACCCAAGACTGTGAACCACATGGCAGAGGAGTTCTCCTGGGTTTCCTCACCCTGCAGCTCTCCACCAGGGCATCCTTTCCCAATAAAGTCTCTTACTTTGTCAACACCCGTGTTTCCTCAGACAATTCACTTCCATGTGTCAGAGCCTGGGCCCTGGTAGGGGTCCCTTTTCCTGCAACAAAATGACATATTATTGATAGCTTACATAATCCAGATCTAAGTGCCATGTGACCCCTTATGAGATCAAGAAGGAATGTTATCTTTTTCAGCTTTTACTTTTGAGACAAATCATTTAAATGTGCTTAAAGGGCCTTCTCTTTGAGCAATCATGTACAGATGAGAGTTGGACCATGAAGGCTGAGCACCAAAGAATCGATGCTCTCCAACTGTGGTGTGGACAACTCTTGAGAGTCCCTTGGACTGCAAGGAGATCAAACCAGTCCATCCTAAAGAAATCATCCCTGAATATTCATTGGAAGGACTGACGCTGAAGCTCCAATACTTTGGCCACCAGATGCGAAGATCTGACTCATTAGAAAAGACCCCGATGCTGGGAAAGGACAGGAGGAGAAGGTGGAGACAGAGGATGAGATGGTTAGATAGTATCACCAACTCAATGGACCTGAGCTTGAACAAACTCAGAAAGATAGTGAAAGACAGGGAAGACTGGCGAGCTGTCGTCCATGGGGTTGCACAGTCTGAGACAACTTAGCAACTGAATAACAAAAGGTTCTTCTCGGAGACACACAGATATATTTCTTCATTAAAAAAAACAGATAAGACACACTCAGGGTGGCACTGTGACTACCTACCTTGACAATGTGTGGGAAAATACTTTAAAAAATATGAAGTGTTTTGTAAAAGAAGTGGGTTATTCTACTTACCTTATGTACACATTCCATTCATTCCTCCAGGAAATACTTATTGCACACTATGTGCCAAGTCCTAGGACAGACACTGAATATAAAGGACCCAAAATGACATCCCAACCTTCAGGAGTTTACAACGAAGTCTGTTCCTGAAACTGGCAACACCTCCATCCCAACAAAACAAACAAAAAAACAACTAAGTGAGATTCCCTGTTATGCTATGTACTAACTTACTGCCTTTTTTCCTAGCATCATCATGAGTGAAATAGCTCAGTCGTGCCCGACTCTGTGCGACCCCATGGACTGTAGCCTACCAGGTTCCTCCTTCCATGGGATTCTCCAGGCAAGAATACTGGAGTGGGTTGCCATTTCTTTCTGAGGGGATCTTCCTGACCCAGGGATCGAACCCAGGTCTCCGGCATTGCGGGCAGACACTTTAACCGCCGAGCCACCTAAATAGTTAATTAATAGCTTACTATCCATATCAACCACCATAATTTTAAGCTCCATGGAACAAGTATTTCACCTCTTTTGGTCTCTGCTTTACACTCAAAGCCTTGCGTGCCTGACACAGAAGAGGAGCAATGCTATTTGTTGAATGGACGGAGAAACGAATGAAAGAGCAAATGGATGTCGAAAAACAAGAGTACAATACAGTATAATACACACACTATTAGGCATGCATAGTGTGATGAGAATTTATATGAGCCGTTTAAAACTAGGCTTAACGGGGCTGACTTCCAGAACAGAAATTAATCTTTTCAAACTCAGAAACTTGCATGATACCGTCCCCCACTGGCCTGGCAGTAGCTTAACCGGTATTATTCTCTAGCAGGCCATCAAGAGGAGTGGTTAAATGACTCAAAGGCCGGCGCGGACAACGTCCAATGAGGTCACCTCTGGCTAAAAGCCAGAATGAATAAAAGGGTTCATCCCCGATACGGATGCAGAAACGGGACTGAAGCGGATCCTGGCCTCCACCGCGACGTTACACCCCGCAGGCGCCGCCGGTCACGTGATCCGGGCCGCGCCCGCCAGGGCGCCTGGGCTGTCCCGCGCACGCGCAGTGCTCCGGGCGGCGGAACCGAGGGCGCTGACAGCTTCCGGTTTGGTTTCCCCGCCCCCTGCGCGGCTGAAGCTCTCCGGCTCGGCGGTGGCGGCTGGAGCCGCGGCGGGGTAGCGGGGGGCAGGGCGCGGTGAGGTAAGGTGAATGCCCCAGCGGGGTTCCCGGAGCCATGGCCTGCTCCATTGTCCAGTTCTGCTCCTTCCAGGACCTCCAGGCCGCCCGGGACTTCCTCTTCCCTCATCTGCGGGAGGAGACCCCCAGCGGCGCCGTGAGGAGGGACCCCAGTAAGTGCCCCCGCCTCGCCGCTCCCTTCCCCGCCTCCGCCCGCGGGACTTGCGCGGCGGGCTCGGGTCTCCTGCCCGCCCCGGCGCTCCTAGTTCCTCCCTCTCCTCCCCTTTCCTCTCCGCGCGGATCCCCTGCTGTGGGTCCTGGAGCCGCGTCCGCCTGCCCCGACTGCGTCGGTGTAGTCTTCCTCTCGCCTAAGGCACTCCGCCCTCTGGCCAAACATTGCGTCTAGCTTGCTCTGCTCACTTCCCCACCCCCCAACTCCTAGTTTTCTCTCTGAGTCTCTCCGTCTCCCCTCCCTCCGGCCCGGGGTGCCCGGTTCCGCACCGCCTGCCCCGGGATCGCATCCTCCTCCCCACTCCTCTCCAGCTGTCAGCGCGCTAGCCTGGTTTCGCCTGAACCCCCATGCTCCTCCGTGTTTGGGACTGTGTGGCCTTCTGCTGCTTCCCTTTGCGAAAGTGTCTGTCATCGCCCACACTTTGCCTTCTTCCATCCCCTTTCTTCCCATTCAGGTTTAGAAAATAAGTGATTGACAAGTGAGAGACTCCTTAGGTGGTGAGTTGGAGGCTTCAAAATAAAGGAAAATAACCTGTCGGGGAGTGAGAAGCCACCTCAGGAGTTAAAATCACAACAGCTTGGCCATGAAAAGTTAATGAGATGAGAAGCCTTCTGCCTGTTAATTATCATCAAACAGCGTGACTTGCCCACGTAGTGTAAAACTCCAAGTCTGTTTATTAGCTGCCGCAGAATTCCTCAGAATTTCCTACGTTTTACCTTTTAAAGGGGCTATGTTTTGTGTGTCAGTTGTTTTGTGTTTCCATTTTACTGCAAAGCCGTATGTCCAAAGTTACTTTGTGCTATATTCGAATGGTGATGAAAAGCCCACTAAATAAGTTTCTCTCCGTTTTTAAAATTTAGAAGGTATCAAATCACACCTGTTTATGAATATTAGCTCTGTGCCCGTTGATGGTGCTCCCAATCAAGTGAGACTGATGGTCTCTGTCCTCTAGGAGCAGTATAGTTTACTGGGACAAATAAGTTAACCCCTACCATACAGTGTGAACCATATTTATACATATGGCACTAGGAGATACAGTCCTTGAAGTGGGGGTATTTAAGTCTACCTTTGAAGTGGTGCTTAGATGAATAGGGGAGAAGGAATACCACGTGTAGCAGAAGGGAGGCCTGAAATGGCATGGTATTTAGCTAAGAAAGGCTGAATGACTGAAGAGCAGGGTGTGAGGAAAAGAGCCTTAAAGGTAATAAGGAGCATGATCATGAGAATCCTTGTGAAGGGAGTCAGATGCATCTGAAGACATTAAACAAAGGAATGATGTGATGAAATTTGTATTTAATGGAATTGGCAAAGTTCTTACATACCTGTTAAGTGTATTGGCAGCAGTATGGAGGAGAGATAGGAAGCAGGGAACTTCATTCTGAGGATATTTCAGTAACCCATGCAAAATTGATGCAAGCATGGACTAAAGTAGCTTCAGTAGGACTTGAGATCAGCGGCTAGATCAGGAAGATTTTAAGATAGAATCTGCAGGACCTAATGAAGATCTGGTGCTGGGGGTTGTAGCTGGTGAGTGAGAGGGAGGTGAGGATGCCTTCGTCTTTTGACTTGGGCGAGAATTTCTAATGAAAGGGAATGAAGGAGATCGGTTTTGGATCTTTTACATCTTAAATGCTTCTAGTTTGTCCAGTTTTAAATGTATGCAGTGTCCAGTCGAACAGGTCTCAAACTTAATAAGGATCCCTGGCCTTGAGGTGTGAACTCAGGAGTTACCAGTAAAAAGTGTCAGTCCGTCTCAAGGGTTATGAATATAGTGAAATGAATGCAGGCCTGAAGATGTAACCCTAGAGGAGCACTGAAGTTTAAGTCAAATAGAGGTGAATGGGAAGACGACTTAAGAGAAAGAGAGGAAAACTAGGTGAAAGTAATGCCGCAGAAGTGAGAGAGAATCTGATGAAAGGGAGGAGTGGTCAGTAGTTGTGAATGCAGCAGAGATCAGCTAGGATGAGGATGGAAAAGTGTTCATTGGCTTTGGGAGGATGGAGGTGACTAGGACCTTAGAACAGTTTCAGGGGAAGGGCAGGAGAGGACTTAAAAAATAAATTTGCCTATTCCAAGGAGCCAGGTTGTGAACGATGGTGGACATAGGACTGTAGATAAAGGATGCAGAGGAAGGACACATTTCCTCTATCCCATTGCCACTCCCCTTGTCCAGGCCACCATCTTCTCTCACCTGCTCAGTGAAACTACTCTTCTTTTAATAGATCTTCCTGCTTCTACTGTTGGTTTTGGTTTTTTTCTTATGTATGATAGTTTGCATGTGCTAATCCCAGTCTCCCAATCCTTCCTGCCCCTAGCCCCCTCCCCTATGGCAACCACAAGTCTATGCTGTGTCCGTAAGTCTGTTTTTGTTTTGTAGATATGTTCATTTGTGTTGTATTTTAGATTTCACATGTAAGTGATATATGGTATTTGTCTTTTTCTGAGTTCCTTTGTTTAGTATGATCATCTCTAGGTCCATCCATGTTGCTGCAAATGGCATTATTTCATTCTTCTTAATGGCTGAGTAATAATCTGTTTTGTGTGTGTGTATATATATATATATATGTATTATGCACACCACATTTTGTTTATCCATTCATCTCTTAGTGGACATTTAGATTGTTTCCATGTCTCGGCTATTGTGAATAGTGCTGCTGTGAACTTGGGGTGCATGTATGTTTTTGAATTACAGTTTTGTCTGGGTATATCCTCAGGAATGGGATTGCTGGTGGGTCATAAGTCGGTTCTATTTTTGGTTTTTTTTTTTTTTTTGAGGAACCTCCATACTGTTTTTCATAGTGACTGAACCAACTTATATTCCTACTAAAGGTGTAAGAAGGTTTCCTTCTCTCCATACCCTCTCTAGACTTGTTAATTTGTAGACTTGTTAATGGTTTCTTGTAGTTAGTTCCAAAAGCTGTCAAAGTGAACTATTAAACAATTTAATCATAACAGTCTTCTCTCTATAACTGTCTGTGGTTTCACTTGGAGTTAATATAAAATCCAAAGTTCTCACATGGCTTAAAGGACCATGAGGCGCCACTTCCTGCTGCTCCTTGTACCTCATACTCTTCTCCCCTTATTTCTTATGCTTCAGACACTTTTGTTGTTAAAGCTGTGATGTGCTTAGTCGCTCAGTCGTGTCCAGCTCTTTTGGACCCCATGGACTGTAGCCTGCCAGGCTCCTCTATCCATGGGATTCTCCAGGCAAGAATACTACAGTGGGTTGCCACGCCCTCCTGCATAGGATCTTCCCAACCCAGGGAACGAACCCAGGTCTCCCTCATTGCAGGCAGATTCTCTACCGTCCGAGCCTCCAGGGAAACCCAGTAGGCTCATTTGTACCTGAGACCGTTGCCCTTGCTCTTGTCCCCACCTTGGATGGTCTCTGCAGATCCTTGCATGCTCAATGCATCTCGGAGAGACCTTTTTTGAGTATGTAATCTAAAACAGACATCACTGTTCCCCTTTTCTCATTTGTTACTTTCAGTCATTTTATCTTGTTTATGTTCATCACCAAGTCTGTATTGTCCAGTATGGTTGTTTCTTGCCAGAACTAACCGTAGAAATGGGGCAGTTGCTGCTGAGGAACAGAATTTTTAATTTTACTTAATTTTAATTAAATTTAAGTAGTCAGATATGGCTAGTGGCTGCCATGTTGTATGGCACAGTTATGAATGCTAAAATGTAAGCAGCTACAGATTGAATACTTGTGCAGGGTCACACAGTGAAGAATAGCCTTAAGCTATGAATGTGATCCAGGCGTTGGGAATATAATCATAGCCCAGACATCAGATTAATTTATAATATGCCTGTGGGTTTCCAAATACAATTTAATTTATTACCCTTTTAAATAAAATTCTTTGGTATACGTATGTTGGTATTGCGGCTGCTAGCAATTCAAGTGGAAAATAAGTGGAGAAAGAACCTCTTAATCAGTGAACCCCTTTGCCAGACCTGTATTTTACAGTTAAAATGGTGCTTTAATTTAGAAATGAAAGTCTGGAAAATAGCTTGTCCTGTTGTAAATAGTTTACTTGGAATTCTTGGAATAACTGGTTTACAGATCTCAGTAATCACTCTGGCCATCTTTTACAAAACATCAGACTTTGTGAAGAGTTCATCATTAAGAAAATCTGAACCTATATTTTTGTGAGGGTGAAAATTTACATTGTAAAAACGAAGTGATGGTGGTATTTGGTTTTGCTTTTCTTCACTTTGTTAGTGTTGTGAGTGATGACTTTATTAAGAAATAGAAATCATGAGATCATTTTATTTAGCTTATATAGTTTTGTTTTTAGTATATATCTTTTTAAAAAATATTTGTTTGCTCTTGTTGGTTGCTGCATGATGGATCTTCTTTGCATCATGAAGGATCTTTCGTTGCAAATTCACGAATTCTCTAGTTGTGACACTAAGGCTTAGTAGTTCGGGTGCGTGGGCTCTGCTGCTCTGCTGCGTGTGGGATCTTTGTTCCTCAGTCAGAGATAGAGCTTAAGTTTCTTGCATTACAAGGTAGATTCTTAACCACTGGACCACCAGGAAAGCCTCAAGCTTATATAGTTTAATTTCTTATACTGGCTTATCTC